TAACCTACTGAGCCACGCTGGTGCCCCTGTACATTTCATTATATGTAAAATTTGCCTCAAAATGGAAAGAATCGTTAACAAATGTTGAACCCTAGTTAATGGAATGCATGCTGCAGAATTTGAGGATGAAGGACTCGAGGATGCCACTGTCTGCAACTACTTTGAAATGCATCAAAACATAAATGAAATGGATAGAAAGAGGAATAAATAGATGGATAAATAATACAAAGATGGCAACATGTAGAATCTAGATGAAGGGGTATTGGGGTGTTCACTGTATCATTTTCTGTATATTTCAATGTTTCTGTATATTTAAACATTTCCATAATAAAAGTGGGGAGAAGTAGTCCTCAAAGAATATTGTTCATTTTAAACAACTACAGACTTAATGTGAAAGTATAAAGAACACAACCCTAAGCTCTCCCAAAATACACAGCGTATGGAAGTAACCATATATTTATTTAATAATTTCCCACTTTATGGCTTACTATTTAAAATCCTTTCAATTTCTTATGAAATATGCAGATCAGACATTAAAATTATTCTGTGTTGTGTGCATTTGGAATAATGCAATTGTCATTTTTCTTACATGGTCCCAGGCCAGTTAGTGATGGTGTTGAAGAGGTCCAGGCAGAGGAGTGAGGACTGAAATGAGTGGGAATTGCTAAGACAGAAGAGTGAGGGGGCTTTGAGGGCGCTTGTCAGTTTATCCTCCAGTGCTTGCAGGATGTGGAGTTTTTCAGTGATCCAATCTCACGTAAATAAGGAACAACAAAAGAGAAATTATATGTTTTCTCCCTACAATGTGGAGTCAGTTGCGGAATTTAAAACTCCCAACAGATGCAGATAGCTGCAGCACAGGATGATCTCCATCAGGTCTGAGTTACCGTGAAACCAGACATGGCTATCTCTTACTACACGATTGTGTACTTTAAGTAAATGATTTTAAGATAATTGGCATTTCAAATAGTTCTGGATGTCTCAGAAGGGACAGCTGTGGAAGTAAGTGACTAAAGGCACTTTAGTCATAAGGCATATTGTCATAAGAACATGAGAACCTATTTCGATTTAGACTGCTGGTTCATTCGGCCTACTATTTGTTTGACAGAGATATCAAAGACATTTAATTGGAGAAATTTCATGAGAGAGCAAGGCTTTCTATTTTGCACCCACCTGGAAAGCTTTCTTAACCTTTTCTTAACCTTTGCTCTTGTACTCCCAGACAGCCTAGCTTAAACCACTTGAACCCACGAATGTTACAATGTTTTATCGTGTATTTTCTTATGTCTTCTTTTTTGAGGGGGTCTTGACCCAGTGGTTCTTAACAAGAGAAACATCTTGTGTTTGAAAAAGATGATGCTGATAGGCCTCCAGTTTCTGAGAACCGCTACTCCAAAACGTGTTCACTTTTAACTACTAGTTAGCCAGACATTGCACAAGTTCTACTTCGAATTGAAACCATCTTCATTCATGATGGTGAGACACTTTTAGACTGCTCTGATGAAAACTAGATGGAGAATAAAGGTGATTTGCATTACCAAACAATTCAGACTTTGAAATCTGTAAAGTTCCCTAGACATAGGCTTCATTTAGATATAGCCTTGAAACTAATGAAAACTAACATTTTTTGAAGATCTATAAAGCCAGAATGCCAATTTATTAAATTATACTGATGTCTATAATTTACACAGATTGGAACAGTCATATTGGCACGAGTAGGGAACTTTTTCCTTCCTGTGGGCAGCTGGCTTCTCTTTTAACTTTTTAATTATGAACAAAATTAAACATACAGAACAGTTGTAAGGCTCAATAACCAAACATCCATGTAATCATAACGTAGATTCAGCAGATGTTGCCATGCTGCACATGTATTTTCTGCCAAACCCTGTCTGAGCAAGTGGCAGATGTCATGGTCCTCTACCCTGAATACTTCAGAGTCCCCTCCCAAGAATGGCATTTTCCCACCTGAGACAATTCACAGTATTTCTCAGAAAGCACCCGCTCCATCAGGAATCTTGTCATTATTCAGCTTGTCCCCTTGTGTCTCAACATCTCTGTAGTTGCTTTTTTCAAACACATTGCATTTTATAATTATGTCTCCTCTGTCTTTTTATTCAAGAATAAACCCCTTCTCTTTTCATTCCTCCTAACACTTTTTTTTTTTTTTGACACCAAGCCACTTGGCTTGTCTCACAGTCTGTATTTGTCAGATTGTTCCCTTGTGGTGGTGCCTGATTTGTTCCCGAGTCTGGCCCTTGAATTCCCTGGAGACTGGAAACCAGGTCTAGAGGCCGGACCAGGTTCTGGTTAAACCTTTTTTGGCAGGACTGTTTCACAGAAGGCACCGCACCCAGGCCATGGCACAGGAGGAGGTAGGCACTAGGATGTCGGGTTGTCCCATTGCTGGAATACTGAGTCAGACCTTAGGATAAGGAGGGTGACAGCCAAAGTGTGTTTTTCCCATTTCAATTTGCAGGTCATCTTTGAGTCACCCTTTGGCACCATTTGAATACCTTATTTCCTCATTAGCTTTTTACCTAGTGGTTTTTGCATCCACCCTTGCCTGGATCTGTGATTTGATTGAAGGTGGCAAAATGGTGATTTCTAAATTACTTTTCTTCTCCATTTATTAGCTGGCATTCTCCTCTAACGAAGAGCTTTTCTTCACCACCTGGGGATGATTGCTGATTACAGGTCTTCCTAAAAAGGTACGATGAATGCTTAGTCCTTTTTCTTTACCAATTTTCACAGTAAGGAGTCTAGGCAATAGTCACATGCAGTTCTGGCAAATGATCTTTCTTTTTTATAGATTTTTGCATATTCCATGTGTTAAAACAACTTTCAGCCATTGTTCTTTAATGTTGAAATTACCTCACATTTGGCCAGTGGGAGTCTGTCCATGCTCCCAACCTGTGAATGAAATGTAAACAAGCAAAATTGTAGTAATATGGGGGAAATCAGAAAACTGGATATTTGATAATATAAAGGAATGATTGTTAGTTAGGGTAATGTTATTATGGTCACTAAAAAGACAAAAGAGGCCTCACCTCTTAGAGATGACTTACTGAGGTATTTGCTGGCAAGATAGGATTTACCGTGAAATAGTTCATGGGCGGCTGGGGGTGTAGGAGAGTAGTTGAAGCAGAGAGGAGGCAGGTTTGGCTACGTGCTATTAAGAAGCTGCGTGATGGGTGCTTAGGGCTTTATTATACTATTCTTCCTCTACATGTTTGAAACTTTTCCTAATAAAAAGCTTTTTAGAGGTGCCTGGGTGGCTCAGTTGGTTAAGCCTCTGCCTTCGGCTCAGGTCATGATCCCAGGGTCCTGGGATTGAGCCCTGCATCTGACTCCCTGCTCAGCGGGGAATCTGCTTCTCCCTCTGCCCCTCTCCCCACGCACCCCCCCCGCTTTCATTCGCACGCTCTCTTTCTCTCTCAAATAAATAAATAAAATCTTAAAAAAAAAAAAGATTTTATTTATTTATTTGACAGAGAGAGAGAGCAAGGGCAGGAACACAAGCAGGGGGAGTGGAAGAGGGAGAAGCAGGCTTCCCGCCAAGCAGGGAGCCCGATGCGGGGCTCGATCCCAGGACTCTGGGATCCTGACCTGAGCTGAAGGCAGACGCTTAGCAACTGAGCCACCCAGGCGCCCCAAATAAAATCTTTTTTAAAAAAGCTTTTTAATTATTAGAATTTAAGTTGGTATTTGCAATTCAAATTTAATAATTTCACAGCTTTTTTCTTAACATTGTATTTATATTTTATCTATGAAAAGCTTATTTTGAAGAAATATGTATATGTTCAGCTTTGCTGACATAAAGCCAAAATTTAGCTAGTATTGGAGCTTAATTGCTGTATAAGTCAAGAAAATTTAAAACTTTTGAAAATTTATTTTTATTTTTTTTAAGATTACTTATTTATTTATTTGAGAGAGAGAGAGAGTGAGAGCACAAGCAGGGGGAGCAGCAGAGGGAGAGGGAGAAGCAGACTCCCCACCGAGCAGGGAGCCCTATGCAGGCCTCGATCCCAGGCCCCTGAGATCAGGACCTGAGCCAAAGGCAGACGCTTAACCGACTGAGCTACCCAGGTGCCCCAAAAAACTTCTTAAAATTTAAATAACAGTACAGAATTTAAAAATATAGTTACAGTGTTTTTCTACTCTTTACCTTTTCCTGGAAAGTGTTTTTAAAGCTTTAAGAAAAAATTCTACATAATTTTTCTGAAATAGTCTTTATTTTGTAAATAAATATATTTTATTTACTAGTATAAAAAATACTTTTTCCATGTAAAAGATTGACGAAAAAATGATAATTAGGAAGGATAGGGGAAAAAAATCACTTGTGTCTTCGACTACAAACAACCAGGGTTTTCACAAATTTCTTTTCATCTTTTTCCTGTGCCTAGTCTATTCATATGCTTACTTGTTTTTAAAAATCCTACATTTTGAAAAAAAAAAAGCTACATTTTGAAATAATATTTTCTGTTTTAATGTGTTGAGGATTCACTACCCAGGATGCAGTCAGCTTTCATCCATTATTGTCAGTGCCATCCTAACTCATAGTGAAATTTGGTGCTGTGGCTATTTTTCTGATGATAAATGGAAAAAAGTCTTCTCTGGTCTCCTCGGGCTTTCTTGCTTTTTTGGTCTGGGGGCTTCATCCACCAACAAATACCTGACTTCTTTTGTTAAACAGTATCTCAGCTATTTAAAATCCAGTCTGCTCTGATTCTAGAGCCTTTGCCACATCTGCAGCTGGAGTACCAACCAGGTCGCAACTGTGAGTTCATCTCCTTCGCTGTGGGCGGAACATCTGGCCATAGATCTCACTGAGGTCAGTGGGCGTTTGAAGGGCCAGCCGGAGTGTGAAGAGCGTGCGTAACCAGCGTCTGTGTGTATTGCTAGGGAATGACGCATCTGAGGACCCAGGGCTCAGACGCCAGCAGACGCCACCTTTCCTCCGGCTGTTCCCTTTGGCTCAAACGTTCACTCAGCATGTCCGTGCCGAGCAGGGCTCTGGGCTCTAGTGTTAGGAACACAGCAGTGAACAAAATGGACAATTATATTTTCTCGTGAAGCTTGCATTCTAGTGAGAAAGATTATGGACATGTGTGCAAATAACTATATAATATGTCTGGCAGTGGATTTTTTCAAAGGCAAGCTAATGGATTTGAAAGTGATGGGGTATACAGTATTCTACAGAGTGGATGGGGAGGCCTCACTGAGCAGTAACCCTTGAGCCAAGGCCTGAGGTAAATGAACCACACAGCTGATGAGGGAAGGGAACTCCTGGGTAGGAGGATCCAGAGGAATACTGTTTGGTGTTTGCAAGGAACAGCCTGGAGGCCAGTGAGGTTGGAACAGAGCTGGAAGAGGCGGGGTAGGTGCAGTGGGCAGAGGTGGGCAGAGGTGGGCAGAGGTGGGCAGAGGTGGGCAGGGGCCACTGTGGGCTCCTTCACGGGCTTGGCTTTTCCCCCCGAGCAAGATGAAAACCAGTGGAGGGTTCTGAGCAGAGGAGGGATGTCATCTGCCATGTATATTTTAAAAGGATCACTGTGCCATGTAGGTGATAAATTATAGGGGGTAAGGGCAGAAGCAGGAGGGCTGTCAGGAGGCTGACTGTAAACCAGGTGAGAGAGGGTGATATTTTTGGAGCAGGGTGATAGCAACGGAGGTGAGGAGTGGCTGGATTCTGGCTGTTTTTAGACGCTGAACAGCAGGATGCACTGCTAAATTGCTAAGAGAAAAAGGAGAGTGGAGGATAACTTTGCTGCTTTGGGCCTGAGCCGCCGGGAGGGCGTGTGCTCTATGACCTGGCGGAGACTGAGGGAGGAGGCAGCGTAGGGGGAAGACGGAGAGCCGGCGGGGGACACGTTCGCTCTGGGCAACATTAGCTGTCTGAGTGGACAGCGCGGGCTGGCAGTCAGCCCTACAAGTTAGGGATTCAGGGAAGAGGCTGGAACAACAGATGTGGGTGTTGCCCAGCTACGTGAGGACAGAAGTGAGAGTATGTGCGTCCCATTGCTTTCCGTTCAGTTTACTGTGTCTGTTTTGTTTTTTCTCTCTCACTGGTCACTAGAGGCCTAAGGCAGGGTGATGATGGGGCTAGGTCCAGGGGTTGTACAACCCAGTGGCATCAAAGCTAGGGACCAGAGGGCATTTCTAGTTTTAGCAAACACTCCAGGTGACTCTCCTGCAGGTGACCCAGGGACCATTCTTTGAGAAGCACTGCTGAAGGCCCTCATCCCTTCCTCTTTGGTCGTGGACAGGCCCACCTCCCTGAGTTCTTGTGTTGCTCACCTCAGATGACATGAGTGGGTCCTCCCATCCCTCCTCCAGCCTGCACTTCTAGGCTTGGCCCAACGTGTGAGTGGAAGGAGAAACACACTTATCGGGGGGAGAGAAGCCAGTACAAAATCAGAATGCCATTTATAAGAACAGCGGTTATTCCCATGAAGTAAACCAGGATCACAATGTGTGCCTAATGTGTCATTAGCGTTTGCTCGTCATGCTGTACCTTGTGAGTCGTCGTAGAGTTTCTGAGGTCGGCACTCTGATTCACATCAGTGTATTTCCTTTCTGAGAGTCTCAGTGAGTGCTCCCAGGGATCACCTTCCTTCGTGGGGAGTCCCCCTTCCCAGAATAGTGCTCTTGTCTTCTGTATACCAGCAGATGTATTGATAAATTGTTAGCAGTTGATTGTATTAAAAGCTTATGAATTGGTATTTATGAATCACCAAGGATTTTATATACTGCATTCTCCTAAGTAAACCTTTAGGATGATCCTTGCTTTTGGAGTTGGCACTACGAGATCCTTGGGAAATAGAGTCAAATGAGATAGTATTGGGGTAAGAAACGATGGGAAACGACAGCACTGTGCTAATATGGTTTATTCTGACAATAACTTGTGCTGGGGACAGTACCTCCGCGACTTAGCGTGACCACAGTCACCTGACAGTCCACATCATTGGTGTAAATTCTCCAGGCACGGATCCGCAACGTTCACAGATGACCTAGGCCTGCAGCCTCACACACGCCCTCCATGCACCACAGCATCAAAGCTCGGGGATGAACTGATTGAATCGTAACGAACCTTCTCCCTGCTTTTTAGGATGGCTGCGCTTCTTCTAAAGAGGCTCACATTACAAACCATAAAGACTGAAAATAATTGCATTAGCAGGTGTCTTGGTAAATACATCCTGCACAAGACCATACCAGCGCAGCTGTCCCTTGGAGCTTCTGTCCCAAGACTGTCCTACCTGATTCATGCAAAAGCTTTCAGTACTGTTGCAGACGCCCAGGATGAAGCAAAGAAGAAGAAAAAGAGTGAGCCAGCTTTTAGCAACATTGGCAGAAAAATTCACGAGCGAGTCATTCACGTGCTGGATGAGGCAGGCAATGATTTGGGAAACATGCACCGAGCAGACGTGATCAGGCTCATGAATGAGCGGGACCTGAGGCTCGTTAAACGGGACAGCGGCGTGGAACCTCCGCAGTACCAGCTCCTGACGGGGGCACAGATTCACAAGGAGCAACTGAGACTTCGGGAATTGGAAAAGGCCCGCCCCAAACCTGGTAGGTGTCATGCTGTCTGCAAACTGAGTCCTCGGGACCGCAGACCAGCAGTTGAGAGCGGCATCTGCCAAGGTGCCCATGACCACGGGCATGTAAAAAAACAGGGAAGTTCACGGTCTCACCACCACTGCCCACATCTTTCTTCAGCTCTCCCTTATTTCCGTTCCTCTTCTTTTTCCCTTGAGGCCCTGTGGTCAGCATTCTCTTCCTTTAAGCCTGTGTAAAAGGAGGGGAAAATAAGGTAAACACCCCAAAGTGATGGAACCTCTTTTCCCCTTGGTCCTTAGCTCTGTCTCTGATCTGGGGGTGGCAGAGCCCTGGCGGCGGGAATGAAATGAGACTCGGAGGAGGCGGATTGGAGTCCCTGTTCCAGGGCTGGGCCACCCTCCCCCCGCTTTCTCCCACATCTCTAAAGTGGAGGTGCTTGGCTAATGGCTTGGAAGCGCTTTCTAATCTCCGAGGTGATTCATAGAGCATCTCTCACACCCCAGTGTTTTGTTACAGTGTTGGTAAGTAATGCTTATGTGCACATTTTGCCAATCACCTTACAATGCCTTGTCATTGATGCCTTCATGGAACCATGAACTGGATAGTAAGTGAAGATTTTTCATGATTCCCACTAAGTGCTGATTGTTGTGAAAGATTGTTTTCTGTTGAACAGCCTGGGACAGGGACCAGGAGACTGGTCCCGAAGCTGCCACAGTGAGGTGGTATGTCTTAAGAAAATCACACACTATCTGTGGCTCACTTTTGTAACAGCACATTCAACAAGGATGTTGACTAGAAAACAAGTTTTCAGAGGCCAACTAGGATGATACAGACTTCAAACTGTATCACAGAAAAATAGTTGAACAGCCCAGAGAAGCTTGGAGAAGACACGTTCCTGTTGTGATAGTTGAAGGGCTAAGGTGTTGAAGGCATTATTTTGTTCTGAGAGAGACCTAGGACCAGCTGCAGGGCTTGAAGGAAGCAAGGAGGTATTGATAAAAGGACTTTTTTAAAAGGAAAAATTACTTTTATTTTGGGAATTAGAAAGCATACAGAAAAATATAAACACCTACTATCCACCATCCAGAATGAACAAACATTAACATTGTTGTGCTTCAGATTCTTAAACAAAATAAAACATTACAGAGTTGTTGAGGTTGTCTGTGCTCCCTCCTCACCATCATGGACTCGGGGTGTAGGTCTGTCTGTGTCGTTAAGCTTCGGTTACATATAAACAGTATATAGCAGGATTTTATACACACAAAAATTATGTCACGCTGTTTTCAAGAGCCATGTTTATAGAACAACTGTAGCTAATTTATCATAATTACTAAATAGAATCCTAAGAATATACCATATACCATGGCTTTAGGGCCTTTGCATGGACATTGGGCTCGTTTGCAGTCTTTCGTTATGAAGAACAATGAGCCTGTCAGTGTCCCCAGAGTCTGTGGGGCAGATCATCAGCAGTGTATGTATGAAACTTCTCTTCTACATCCCCACCCACACTTGGTATTGTCATCTAATTTTTGCCATGCTGATGGGTGAGAAAGCCTGTCTTACTATTTATTTGTACTTCCTTTCACCATTTAAGTTACCTCCTCTGTGACTTGCCTATTTATAGTCCCTGTTTTTCTACTTTCATGGTCCTCCCCCCACCCCCGATTTATAGAGTTCTCTGTTCTGTGTGATGCAAAAACCTTGTCTCAGAATTTTTTTTTTGTCCTTTTTTAATTACCCAGTAATGTTTTGATAGAGGAAATTACCAATTTTTTCCTTAACAAAATCCTTCTTCTATCCTGAGGTCACAAACATACACTTTCTTTTCTCCTATTTTAAAGTTGTATTTTTTTTCACATTTAGTCAGTCCTCCTGGGTAGAGTGTTTTATGGGTTGAGACCTAATTTTCCCCCCATATGAAAACTCTGAATTGTTCCAACGCTTTTACTAAATAGTCTGTTCCTTCCCTGTAAAATAATTTTGAATAGTCAGGGTTTCCATTTTCAGAGTACAGGACATAGGGAGCTCCCTCCTGTCTGATGCAGTCTGGATGATCCCACTGTCACTAGGAGGCCATCACAAAAGGAGTCAGATGAAAAGAGTACTTCCCAGATGCTGCTCTAATCAGAAGGAAAAATAAGGATAGTCAAGTTTATCATAAAGCTAGACTCGTTCCTTTGAAAGGACCATTTTTTCTTTCATCAAATGAGGGTAATAATAATGGAAGCATTTCATACATTACAGAATATCTATTTTGCTTTTAAAGTCTGAGACCTAAATACTCTTACTTGGCAGGTAAAAAATTGGTACCTTTAAGTTTGTCCATCTCCCTTGTTTAAAAAAACATTTGAAACTAAGAGAGGAGCATTGGGCCCCTGTGCCAACCTGATCTCTCAGGAAGTGTGTGACACAGCTCGGGTGTTGTGAAGAGACCAGTAAACAGTCCTAGCACCAAGTCTCGCTGTTTCAAACTAGGACCTACCCTGACAAAGGAACTCACTTTTTCTTCAACTATTGGACAACATGATTTGGACACAAAGAATAAACAGATTCAGCAGTGGATTGAGAAAAAATACAAAGTTCAAATTACCATAAAAAAAGGGAAGAACACAGAGGAGCCAGAACATAAGATGGTGAGTACAAGCAGGTATGAGGAACTGCTCGTGGTTTTGTTTTCTGATCTAAAGATACAATTGTAGAAAATCTGGATAATTAGCAAAGGCAGAGACAAGTAACTGCTAATTCTACCCAGTGATGGCAGTAGCTTTCCAATTCTGTTTTTCAAAATGTAAGCATACTCTACGTACATCACTTTTTCCATTGAAGCATAGTAAGTATTTTGTCACCTGAAAACATTGCACTTCGTAATTTCAGGGCTATATACTTTTCTTTTTTACAAATTGCATAATAATATCTATCATTTAAAAACATTCATTTTTGGGGAGCCTGGGTGGCTCAGTCGTTAAGCGACTGCCTTCAGCTCAGGTCATAATCCCAGGGTCCTGGGATCGAGCCCCACATCGGGCTCCCTGCTCAGCGGGGAGCGTGCTCCTCCCTCTCCCACTCCTCCCTGCTTGTGTTCCCTCTCTTGCTGTGTCTCTCTCTGTGAAATAAATAAAATCTTTAAAAAAAAAAACACAAAACAGATTCATTTTTAAAAGTCTGTCTCCTGTTTAATAATGCCCCTGAGAAGTATTACATATAAAGTCAAATTGTCCTTCTGGAAAGTACGTTTACACTCCCAGGATAAGTTTACAGAATATCTATTTTGCTCTCAGAGTCCAAGACCTTAGCAGCTAAAAGGCAGCCTTAGTCTGGTGGTTTTCACCCTCATTCCAGGTTAGAATTGTGAGGCCTAGGTTTCAGCCCAGAATCTCTAGAACTGGGTGTCTGTATTTTTCTAATCACCCCAGTGACTCTGTGTTAGTAATGTTTGGGGAACTGCAGTTTGGGGGATAAAGAGGTCCTCTGCCAATGCCCAAACCCACTGTTTTGTATCTCTTTTTTCTGAGATGGTAGCTGGAGCCAAACATAGTCCCTCAATGCCATGCCAGAGTGGAAATTTAAAACTATCAACCTTTAGTGCATTAGTTAGTTACATGGTTGTTTGTAAAACTGCCTGGTTGTCGTACAGGTTTCCATCAGCTTAACCCGAGAAGTACAATTTGATTTACGTAGTCATTTAAGTAACAGCAAGTCAGGAATTCTGATTTTTATGTGTTTTAAAGCATTAACACTAGAAGGCATCAAATACATTGGTTTTAAATTCATCTTTGGCTGTTTTCCCTTTCTAGGAGGAGATCTGTAATCAAATACTCCAGACTATGCCTGGAATAGCTACCTTCTCTTCCCGGCCACAGCCTGTTCGGGGAGGAAAAGCTGTAATGTGTGTTCTTCGTCATTTGAGCAAAAAGGAAGAGAATGCGTATAGAGAAACTCAAGGAACCCAGAAAGAAGACACTCTGAACAAAGAAAACAGAAACAATCAAGAATCAGATGTTGTGCATCAGTGATTTTAATAAAGAAAAGTGTGCTTCTGAGCAGAAATAATTGAGCTGAATGCTGTGGTCTCATTTAAACAAAGCGGTGGGAGGGTCAGTTGAGGGCAAGGAGTGCAACAGTCGAGAGCACCTTGTCTTCGGTACAGTTCGGTGTCTCTCCGTTTTCAGGCGCAGATAAGCCTTGTCCTTGCTTCCTTTTAGGAGGAATATAGCCACTGAGACGAGAGGCCAAACTCCGTTTTTCACGAGATGGTTTTACCTTTGGAAATAAGAAAACAAGATAATGGGAATTCACAATCAAGCTGTGTGAACTGATCTTCTAATAGCTGTACCCCACACCGGGCACACAACACTCCTTTAGAAGAAAGTGAAGGCCACGCTGTCCCTTCCATAGCAGTGCGGGCTCACAGGGTACTAAGGAGCTGAAAACATTCTAGATTGCATCTGGCTGAGGTAACTGATGTTTAAAATTAACAGCTTGCCTAACTCAACTTACTTTGAGCTTCTTCTTGTCAGGGTCATGCACAACGGCATGCCTAGTGAGACTTTGCTACAATGAAGGAAAAAGAAAAACAGTTAAATCTTTAAAACACTGCCATTTTGGTATCTCTTAATATGAAAACTCCGGGAGTTATTTAAATAAATTCAACCTTCTTTCTGTTACATACCATTGAAGGCTATGACCTCTGCTTACAAAGATTCTCCCACCACAGCAGAATTCTTCCTCAAATCCTGGACCTAATCACTACCTTTCCCAAGGACCCAGGTTAGGAACTTACACAGTCTCAACCTCCGGCGGCTTCTTAGTTTCATAAGTAAGAGGAGGGGAAAGCAGTTCTGAGTGAGCTACTCCAAGCTGAAGAAGGTTCTTTTAACTGAACCTACGTCAGCAGCATTCCCAAACCCCAGTGGAAAATTTGACCAAGGTCTTGCTGTCCTCGATAATGCTGACCACCAGCAGCCCCCGGGAGTTTTCTAAGGGTCTGGACGCACGCTGCGCCTGCCTCGGTGGCTCTTCAGTCTGAGTCATAACTCACGGTTTGCACTTGTAAGAGCACCTGCCAGAGTGCGAGTCGCAGAACCGCACAGGCCCGTCCCGTTCTTACCTATTCAAATCACACCAAGATCCAGACTAGATTCCCAAGTGCTGTGGTCCCTCATGTCCTTGTTGCCCACTTCTCTCAACCCCTAGAAGATGACCGTCTAAAAGGACCCCCAGGTCCCAGCACACTCTTACAATTAATAAGCATGTGGTACCACAGACACTGGTTCTCGAAGTCAGACACGATCACCGAGAGGGTTTGTTAAAACACAAATTACTGGGCCCCATCTCTGGAGTTGCTGATTCAGTGAGGGGGGGCCTGTGGATATGCATTTCTAGCAAGTTCCCAGGTGATGCTGAGGCTCCTGGTCCAGGACCACGCTTTGAGAACCACTGGCGTAGGCAAATCTGGTTGTTTTGCAGACTTGAGAACCTCCTGCTGAAGCCAGAGTGGAAGGGCTAGAGCACCCGGCTTTCCCCATCTGTAGGCCCTGGGGCACCATCTTGGGAGTCCAGGGCTCCCAAGAACCCAGCTGGGAAGCCACAGACCTAAAGGACTGCATTTGTGAGCACGAGTACTTACTTTCATTGCAAATGTTTTGCCACAGCCAGGATGTTCACAGGTAAATGGGCGCATTTCCTCGTGAAAAGAGAGAATGTGGCTCTGGAGATTAAAGACAGTTGTGTAGGTTCTACCACAGCCTTCTCTTGGACACCGGCATACATCCCTTTCTGGGGCGTGAGTTTTCATATGCTGCTTAAGGTAATCCTTGCGCTTAAATGTTTTCTGGCATACTTCACATTTTGTGTCCTCTGGTGGAGTAGACAGACAAACTTAACCAACTTCCCCAGGTATCACCATACAGAAAAAAATGAATTTGAATATATAAGTAATGTATCTGATGCCGAAAATGTCATGATCATCATAAATCAGAAAACTAACTCCAGTTTTTATTGCTTGGAAGTTTGTCTCAATTCTCCCACGTTCTTATATTACAGGAAGTCACTCTGTTCCCTTACCAGGGAGCAGGGGTTCTCAGCATGGTGGCTGCGGGCAAGGGGAGATTAAAAAGAGCAGTTTCCTTCCTTGTCCTCCAATACATAAAGCACTGTTTCCCAAACTGTCCCACAGAACACCCGTGGTTCTAGACTTGCCAGAGCCTTTAAAACTACTAATTTAGGGGCGCCTGGGTGGCTCAGTCACTGGTTAAGCATCTGCCTTTGGCTCAGGTCATGACCCCAGGGTCCTGGGATGGAGTCCCTCATGGGGTTCCCCGCCGAGCAGGAAGCCTGCTTCTTCCTCTCCTTCTGCCCCGCCCCTCCCCTACTCATGCAGTCGCGCTCTCTCAAATAAATAACATCATGAAAAAAAAAAAAAAAAAACTAATCGTGCACAGCACCTCCTGGCATAGCTCCTCCCGAACCTGGGACCACAGCTCTGTCTGCTCATTCGTCAAACTGAGGTACCCAACACGTCACAAAACATCACACAGAATGGTTATTATTTTAAGGTACATGTTTAACATTTCACTCTAAACGACAAATATTTACACTGTGCCATACATGTCTGCTTTACCTTTATGGGTTTCTCTCACATGTTTTAGAAGCTCTGTCCATGTTTTTGCCACAAAGGAACATTCTTTTTGACACATATAGCCTGTTTAGAAAAAAAATACACTGGTGCATTGCCTTTTGTGAACATTCAGTGTAAACACCAACTGTAACTAGAAAGGAAACTTATAAGCCTACATAATTTTTCTCCAGTCTCCCAATAATATTCTGTTAGTCTTTAGAGGTGGGAATAAAAACTAAGTTTGTTTTACAGGGAAACCAAATAATCGCGTAGCAAGGTTTTCCACATAGGGTTTTATGTCAGCAGACTTGACAGGAGCACGCTGTTCCCGGTACGTTGTGTATACCGCCCACGGGCTCCCAGCTGCCGTGCTTCCCCACCTCGGTGCCTCGCAGCCCCTTTGCCCTCCCTGCTTTATGCCTGCCTCTTGTTTTCCTCAGTGAAAGAGCTCTGTGGTCCTCTGTGCTTGGCCGACCACCAACACTAAGTCTCAGGGGTTGTGTGCCTACCCCTGGCCTCTAGTCTTACTATCTGGTAAGTTCCACAAACCAGGAAAGACTCAGGCTGCAATTAAGGGAGAAAATAAGAACCCAGGGGAAACGCTGCAGACAAAAATGGACATCGTGCAAGGCGCCAGGACTGGAAGAATCTGTCACTGTAACAGCCAACCTGTGTTTCACCAACTAAATAGCAGAGTGACACTAAAAGGAACAAGGCTACCTCCTACTCTTCAGCTACTAGTCTCTTGTTAAAATAAAACAAAAACAAAAACATACATTATATACTTAGAAAACTGGAATACAGAATAAAAAAATCCCTCACGGAAACAGAGAAGAGATTTAAGTAATTTAATCAAGTCTTTTTGAAAAAGTTACAATCTGATTACTCCAAAACCTCAAACTATTTCCCAAGCCCTGTGAATGCCAGTAAGGAGAAGGAAGACGCAGGTAGTAAAGAGGTAAACGGTGGTGAAAAGCCAACCGAGGCCGGAGCGCTAACACTCTCAGAAGCATAGAGTGCCACCAGGCCCTTGTGGCAGATGGTGAAACACTCGCTTTGAACAGCGACGACAGGAGTGGAAGAACAGACAAGGATGTGCCGTGCCTGGTCGGGTCTAAAACCTGAACCAGCAGCATGCTGCCCCTGCCTAGATAGCGTCAAGTTTTTCCACGTGACCACGGCGTAGAAGAGAAAGCATCTTACAGTCAAAGAACTAGACACACACACACTACTGGGGTCTACTCGAAGCGGGGGGGCCCCCAGTGAGCACCAGACATACCCTTGTGGACCTTGCTGTGTCGCTTCAGTCTGCTGGGTGAGGCGAAGTGTTTCCCACATCCTTCATGGGCACACCTGGGTTAACAACACGTCACGCATGAGCCAATCCATTTTTGTGGAGCATCTGCTGAGGGTGAATATTACTCTGTCCTTTTCTGCTACCAAAGTCTCTCCCCACCACCAAACCAATCATAAAGAGGAGATTTAAAATTGACACCGAATCACAAGTGAAATTCAGGTTACTTGACCAGCCCTGAGACAAAACAGACTGAGAGAAAAGAGTCATGACGACTTTTTTTTTTTGCGTTGTGATCAAATTAAAACTTTCATCTTTATCCTTCTGAAAATGGACTGTTTTCCTGGCTACGACAAGATGGCGGAGGTAAACCCCTGAGGCATTCTGAATGGTCTCTACTGGGTTTAACGCTGCTGCCTGGGGACGGTGTGGAAGGAGAGCAGCAGCAGACGGGTCGGCTCTGGTGAGCCATGCAGGGGCACGGGCCGCTTCCGTGTGAAAGGCCCCAGCGGCACAAGAGGTGGCAGGCCTGCCAGCGAGGACACACACAGGCCCTGCAGTGACCCCAGGCAAGGCGCAGCTCTGGGGGGCCAGGAAGGCACCGGGCAGGACGGCGGCACGCAGAGTGGCCAGCCAGCGCCCTTCAAGACGCCCCTGCGAGCAGGCGCTGGGGCTCCCTGACCCTCTCGGCAAGTCCACCCTCATGTGTCCAGTCACCGTTCCTGTCCCTCAGGATAGGCCGCTCTAATGCACACTAAGCCCCATGACTTCTGCTCTGTAGGAAAGGAATACTTCGTGTCTGCATAATGACAGTTCACACAATTAAACGGGCTCTTTGGGGCGCCTGGGTGGCTCAGTCGGTTGAACGTCTGCCTTTGGCTCAGGTCATGATCCTGGCAGTCCTGGGATCGAGCCCCGCATTGGGCTCTCTGCTCAGCAGGAAGCCTGCTTCTCCCTCTACCTGCCGCTCTCCCTGCTTGTGTGCACTCTCTCTCTCTCTCTCTGACAAAATCTTTAATAAAAATAAATGGGCTCTCACTGAATAAAGTCGTTTCTTAGCTTTCCCTTCAAGCTTAACCACAGTTGTACTAATCTCACAAATCCTTCAGAAATACATTAACTATTTCTGTTAGAAAAGAA